AAAAAATTCGTTATAAGCTTATAACGAAGTTGATATCCAGATCCTAGAATTCGTTATATCAAGAGTTCACTGTATACAAGAGGTAAAGTACTAAAAGGAAAGCTTATAGAAATAAATGTAAAATAATAATGAGATTTTTTGGCTTTTTTTCCCTCCATTTTTTTTACTTTACCATAATATTTCCAAATTTTATCCAAATCCTTTATAGATAATTCCTTTTTGATACAAATGATGTAGTAAACAAATTTTCATTTCTGAAGTTATTAATAAAAAGAGCATCATGTCTAAAAGATTTATTTGAAGAAAATTTGCTATAGTATGTCTTCATAAAAGACTGTAAAAATTTTCAATAATATATTCAAACATATTTAAATTATTCTTCAAAGTTTTAATAATAGAATGATTGATAAATGTCCAATAATACACATCAGATAAAAAAGCAAGAAGAAATTTATCATAATTGTATCATTGAAATCTCCTCATCATGCTCTATAAGTAGAATATTATATCAATATATTCATCAAATTTATTTTTTTAAAAGAAACTGTATAAATATCAAGAGTTTCTGAAATAAGATTATCAAATAAATCAAAAAATGTTTTATATCTAGTAATTTTTGTATTACCGAATTTTGCTGTTACAATATTTTTTATAAGTTTTTATCTTGTACTTACTAAATATATTAGTAAATTAATCCGCCAAGATTTTGGCTTAGCTGCAAATTTTTTTTAGTGTCAAATATTGCTAAATATAACCGATTAAAAAAAACCAAAAAATAAGAAAAACTGATTTATAACTGTTAAGCAAAACATGTAATGGACTGAAAAAGGAAATTAGGTGTATGATATTATTTGATATTAGTATATTATTATCAGATTTTAAGATATTAACAATTGTTCTTCTAATGAACAATTGTTCAGAAAAATCTGCAGGAATAGGATTAATATACTATTCTAAATAGGTTTTATTTCAAATAATCCTTAAAAAATAATTATTATAAGTAATTTTATAATTATAAATATATTTTACAATTAGATACTAAAAGATTGAATTGCCTGAATATATAATTATTTATACTTTTTAATAATAATTCTAGTAAATTAATAAGTTTTGTCTAGTCAAATTTTTGATCATATCTTTTTCATAAATCTGCATCATATGAATCCCTATAAATAATCTGTATAAGGAAAGTATACAGAAATAATACGTTTAAAAAACGTATAATAAACGTAGCAAAACAGTATAATAAATTCATAAATATTTCTGTATACTAGATACTGAAAATTGACTTTTTTCGTATGTAGAAAAATACAGAATTTATACGTCTAATCAGTATATTGTATATGTAATTTTACATATATTTTATATGTTTAATAAGTATATTGTATACATTATTTTTGATTAGTATTTCCATATATTAGATTCTGAAAATTGACTTTTTCTGTATACAAAAAAATACGGAATTTATGTTTAATTAGTATATTGTATATGTAATTTTGCATATATTTTTTATGTCTAATCAATATATGGGTTAGTATGTATAAAAACCATGCTGCGAAATTTTTCATCAAAATTGGGATTTTTTATTCATGTAAATCATTATTATCTTATCTATTTATGGTATAATTTTTATGGTTCGTTAACTTAATAAAATAACATAAAATAACGTTGAATCCAAAAATCTCTCAAAATCTAAATTTAGATTTTGGTAATGATCAGCAATTTCAGAAATCATGTTGATTTAATTTCTATTTCCGGATAGTTCATTTTCGTTACTTTAAATTTTTTTTTAGGATCTTTTCGGTAATTTTATTTAAGTTTTGACAATTTGTAACCTAGATTGCGAATACTTATTTTATTACTTCGGATAGTATCTATGGATAAATAATTTTGTATGGATAATCTGTGGATAACTTATTCATGGATAATCGGATATGCAAATAATTCAGTTAGCATTTATAGATTTATCTAATCAGATCAATAAATAATTCATTCCTACTATTGTCCAGTTCAACTCTATTACTATCATGGTTTAAATTATAAAATCATAGTTGCTGTTAAGATGAACGACCTTTTTTCCTTAGGTGCATATTGAACTGACCAAATAGTAGGGTGGATGGGTGAATGAGATACTTTTTGTCTTATAATCTCTTTCTTTAAGTAAAAAAAAAACTAAAAAACAAAAAAATATGGTTTCTCTAGCATATGCCGAGCCTGTAAAAATCAGACGTAGGAAAAAGTCAACTCACCTAACCATATAGAATACAATTTTGGACTTAGTCCAAATTCATATAGACATTAAAATAATATAAATTGGTTTGCATATTTCTAGGTAAGACTCGCATTTAATGTCATTACAGGACTTAACTGTTCTGAAAAATAAAATATACTGGACACAATATATATTAAACGAACTTAAGTTAAGTAAAATTTTTCAAACGTTATAACGTAAAGTTAGAAATGATAGAAAGAAAAACCTAATCTAACCATATTTCTAATGCTTAGGTTCGTGCAAATAATATGTAGGACCTGATTTATAAACGGGGTCAGGCTGGTGTCAATAAAGCCTCTATCACTATTAGGTTTAATAACGAAGATAAAAATAATAGTCCCGTTGGGTTTGAAATAATTAAGGAAGTAAATATTACGAGACAAATGAGTAATAAAATTATGTCTAAGTATAAATCATTTATACAGGTGAAACTGCGAATAGCTCATTAAATCAGTTATAATTTATTTAATTTGATAGTACAATTACTACTTTAATAACTGTGGTAATTCTAGAGGTAATACATGCTAAAATTCCTGACTTCTGGAAGGGATGTATTTATTAGATAAAAAACCAATATTGAGCAACCAATTCCCTTAGTGATTCATGATAATTTTTCGAATTGTATGATTTTAATGTCAATAATGAATCATTCAAATTTCTATCCTATCAACTTTCGATAGTAGGATAGAGGTCTACCATGGTGGTAACGGGTAATAGGGTGTTAGAATACGATACCAGAAAGGGAGCCTGAGAAATGGCTATTATATTCAGGAAAGGTAGCAGATGCGCAAATTACCCAATCCCAACACGTGGAGGTAGTGATAATAAATAACAATACAGAGTTCTTTTGGATCTTGTAATTGGAATGAGTACAATTTAAATCTCTTAACGAGGAACAATTGAAGGGCATTAATTCTAGCTCCAATAGCGTATATTAAAGTTATTGCAGTTAAAAAGCTTATAGTTAAATTTCGGGATCAATATTTCAGTCATGTCGTTGGTATGTATTGATATTATTAGTTTCTCACCTTTTAAAGAACCGTAATGCTATTAATTTAGTATCACGAGAAATTAGGACTGTTACCTTGAAAAAATTAGAGCGTTTAAAGCAGGATTACGCTTGAATACATTAGCATGGAATAATGAAATAGAACATCTGATTCTATTATGTTGGTTTCTAGGATTGATGTAATGATTAATAGGGAAAGTTAGGGGCATTAGTATTCAATTATCAGAGGTGAAATTCTTGGATTTATTGAAGACTAACTACTGCGAAAGCATTTGTCAAGGATGTTTTCATTAATCAAAAATGAAAGTTAATGGATCGAAGATGATCAGATACTGTCGTAATCTTAACTATAAACTATGCTAACTAGGAATTGGATTATGTTAATTTTTTAATGGCTCATTCAGCGTCTTACAGAAAACTAAAGTGTTTGGGTTCTGAAGGGAGTATGGTCGCAAGGCTGAAACTTAAAGGAATTGATGGAAGGGCACCACCAGGGGTGAAGCCTGCGGCTTAATTTGACTCAACACAAGGAAACTCACCAGGTTCAGAATTGACAGATTGAGAGCTACAATCAATAATACAGAAAATATACAAGAGCTTAAAAAGGTGATTTTTAATGTTTAACTTATTTGTTCATCTATTGACTTTTCATATTCTAATCCAACACCAAACTTTGATTGTAGCAAAGTCAAAGGTCTAGTTGCAGAGTTAATTGATTTGAATCTGCAATATTGCAATGCTCGCTTGAATTAGAAATTTGTACTGGTGGTAGATTGTATAACGTAAGTTTTACTACATAATTTAAAAAAAAATTTTCCCTTATCCATATTATCTGTGTAAAGTTTTTTTTTAGTTAATTAAATTAATAAATTAGTCTTCTTTTTATTTTTGTAGTTACTGGAAACCTTGGATTGATCAGATCGGAGGCAATTCCTATGAAGGGAAAAGGTAAAATATTTTATTTTAATCAATTAAATAACAAATTAAACAAATTAAAAAAAATTACTTACTTTTTTTCTTTTTGTAGATGCTAGAATCCTTGAATTAATCAGATCGGAGGCGTAAGGTTCCGAATTGATTCCCTTATTCACCGTAGTCCTATAAAGGAGGGATGTAAAATATTAATAAGTTAATTAAAATTTTTATTTTATTTTTTGTAAGAATGGATTTTTCATTATGTTATTCGGAGTACCTTTTTTTAATATTCTAAGTTATTGTTCACATATATAAAATAAATTATTTTTTATAACAATTTTTAATTTATTAAATACCAAAATAAAATGTTTTATTATATATAAAAACATCTAAACATTATCATTATTACTAATTGAAAGAGGACGGACATAAAACATCTTTGAATTCTTCATCAACATATTGACGAATTTTATTATACAAATACCATTGATGTTTTAATGTAAGAGGTTGAATATTAAGGATTGAAAGAAGTTGTTCAAAATTAAAGTCATTATTAAAAAGTAAAACAAAAGGAATTTCTTTACCACCTGCTTCTTTAGAACAATACACTTTCCCTAACTCTAACTTTGAAAATCGAAAATGATAAAATTTGATTATACCCGAAAGTCCTTTAAAATGTGGTGAAAGAAATGAAGTAAAATCATACCAAATCTAACCCAATCCTTCATTATATCTTACTGCTTCATTTGCAGTTGTTGATGTATTAATTATTTGTTCTAGATCATCTACAGTATTACTTTTATTTTTATAATACAGTTTTTTAAAATTTCCAAAATATCCATCGCATACAAATTTCATATGTTCTGGAATCATGAAATTTAATTCAATTTTATCAACCATCCTATCATTATGAACTAAAGCCAAAACTATAAAGATAGATTATTCTTATTTTGTCCTCCACAATTATCACATGTAACTTTTAGAAGTTTTTTTTCATTTTTTTTTAATTCTTTAAGAGAATAAAATACCATGTTAAGAGTGGTATTTGCACCTTTTCCTGTTCCTACAGGAAATTCATTTTCTCCAACAATAAAATTAAGTTGTTTGTTTTTATTACCAGTACAACAAACACCAAAAATATGGGCAGCAAAGGCTGTTTTAAAGTAAGTTGCACTTATTTGTTGAAGAGAGTAAGGGATTGAAACATTTTGGGCCCAGTCATAACATATATAAATCATATTATTATTTGTTTTACTTAATACAATATTTTTATTGTAATATTCTCGTTTAATATCAGCTTGGGCTTTATATATATCAAATTTTCCAGAAATAGATAAATATTCATCATTGTCTTTTTTTGCTAAAATCAATTACGCTTTAAATGATTAGCATGTTTCACATAAATCAGTTCCAGATTTTTCAAATTTTATGTATGATGTTAAATTATGCCAAATTTCCAAGAAATATACGTAACTAAGAACTTGTAAATCATTACCGTATTCTTGTAAATATGTAACTTTAAATTTATTATAAACAGATTTATATGTTGTTGAAGTTGGAAGATAAATAAATGCCATTAAATCAATCTGATGTCTTAAAGGAGATGGCAATCCATGAATTTATTCATAATCAGAGATAAATGTTTTGATAATATCTTTTAATTCAAGTGTAATTGTAACTTTTGATAATAAATGTGATACACGTCCTGTATTTCCATAAATTCGTTGAGTAAATCCATTTTTTTGAAGATCTTGTTGCAAAGTTTCAAGATAATATTTTGTAATTCCAACCATTTTTAAGTAAGTATTTACACAAACATTAAGAGATTAATTATAAGAATATCGATAATTCCAATGTATTTTTTTAAAGTTATCATCATCTGAAATATTAGAAATTTGTTTTTCATTACAAACAAATGCCATTAATTGGCCTTTAATGGTAAAATCTAATTGTTGTTTATTTAATTTATTAAATTCGATATGTCTTATAAAAAACTGCTTAAAGCCAATTTTTTCATAGCATGCATATCTTTACTATTTTTAGACTTTCTACAATTACATTGACCGTTATTAAAAAATTGTTGAATTTCTTCAATTTTTTTCATTATATTTTCATGTTCAGCATATTTCTCTAAACCAAAAGCAAATAATTTATAAGAAATTGAAGACATTATGTTTAAGAAAAAATGTAAAAAATAAGATAAAATTAAATTTCAAATAAAAACTTTTCCACATGATTAAAAAATTAATATTAATATTTAAAAATTTGGGAAAAAATTAGCGTAAAAAATTTATATATATCATTCTATATTAGTGATTAATTATTTAGTGTAACATTATTTCAGAGCATGGTTTTCGTTGTAAAATTTTATGATCTTTTGTCAAGAATTTTTAAAATCATATGATCAACTCCTTATCTAAAAATAGATTAAAAATTTTTGTGTAACATAAATAATTTTGGATTTACTCAAAATTTGAAAAACCATTTTGAACCTTGGTTTTTCTACGTAACAATCCATATTATATACATTATTTTTAGTTGGATTTTTATGTCTAATCAGTACATTATATACATTATTTTTGGTTGAATTTTAACATATAAACATTAAATTATATACGTAATTTTAATTGCAATTTTATACATTTAATCATAATTTTCGAAATTAAAAAAAATTATTAAAAAAAAATAAAATAAAATAAAAATAAAAAAAATTTCATATATTCTATATAAATTAATTAATTATAATATTAAATAAGAGTTTTACAATTTAAAATTAAAATTTAAATATAAAATATTAAATATTTACCTGATTCTTCTAAATCAGAACAATAAATATTTTGATTTCTTAATTTTTCTAAATTATTATTATATTAAATTATATATATTAAATTATATATATTATTTCATGATATAATATTAAAAATAAATATAAAAATTACTTTTTTTAAAATATTAGTGGCAGCTTTAGTGGAGGCAACTTCATTGATGGCAAATTTAGGGGTAGCAGCAACTTTCTTTTGCTACAACTTTAGGGTAGTAGCAACATTAGTAGGTGTAGTGGAAGTGAAGGCAGTAGCAACTTTAAGGATAGCAGTAATATTGGTGTTGATGGTGGTATTAGCAATAATATTAGTAGTAGTAGTGTTATCATCGTTTTTTATAATAATTAGAAAATAAAATAAAATAAGAAAAAAAATAAACAATAAATTAAATTTAAATATTTTGTCTTTTATTATTTTTTTAAAAAAAACCAATAAAATTACCCAAATTTTCATCATAAATTAAATGAAAA